TATCATTACATCAACGTCAAGACATCTTTTACATTTCCGTATCTTTCTTATATTCACATTTCTTTCGTAATACAATTTCAACTTAATAAATAAATAAATAAATAGATATGAATATGGATTTAAGTATTTACATAGTTTCTTATTCTTTATCTAATTGCCATTTTGATTTCTTTTTATTCTTAAACCATTCATGCCAGGCATCCCAGACATTATAGTATATCAACTGTTCCTTGTCTTTTAATTTCATTGTTAGTCTGTCCATCTCTGTACAGTCTAATTTCTTTTTTATAACAGCACCCTCTGTTGCAGAGACTTCTACCAACCACACGAACTCAATCATGCAGTTTCTTGGCAGTTCTTTAGTAAGTGCTTGATGGTTAGCAGTAGCCTAATATTTGAGGGACTGCCACAAAGAAGAGGGGGGGTCAATTTATTTTTCAAAGCACCAGAAGGCAGGACAAGAAACAATGGGTGGAAACTAATCAAGGAGAGAAGCAACCTGGAATTAAGAAAAAACTTCCTAACAGTGAGGACAATTAACCAGAAGAACAGTTTGTGGCTGCTTCATCACTGGAGGGTTTTAAGAAGAGACTGGACAGTCACTTGTCTGAAATGGTATAGGATGTCCGTTTGAGCAGGGGGTTGGAGTAGATGACATACAAGGTCCCTTCCAGCTCTATTCTGATTAGTCATTACAACTTATGACCCCACAGTTGAGCCCAAAATTTCTGTTGCTAAGTCTGCAAGCATCATAACTATTAGCCAGTTGCCAAGTTGCCCATGGGGACGCCACAAGGTCATTAGGGTGAAAAATGGTCATAAGTCACTTTTTTAGTGCCGTTGTAACTTTGAATAGCTACTAAATGAATCATTCCAAGTTGAGAACTTACCTGTATTTTCTTTCAGAATATATATTTTTTAATCTTCACAATCTTAGCACAGTTGAGAAAGTCCAGAAATATTTCACAGGAAGAGTTCTCCACTCCTCTACTCATTGTAGAATACCTTATGCCAGACTTGAAATTCCAGACATAGAAAACCTTTAATTGCGCCATCTTCGGTCTGATCTAAGTATGGTATAAAATCATACATTGCAATGACTTACCTGTCAATGAATACTTCAGCTTCAACCACAACAACACAAGAGCACACAATAGATACAAACTCAAGGTTAACCGCACCAAATTTGATTGCAGAAAATACGACTTCAGCAACAGAGTGGTCAATGTCTGGAATACTCTACCCGGCTCTGTGGTTTCTTCCCCAAACCCCAAAAACTTTAACCTTAGACTGTCTACTATTGACCCCACCCCTTTCCTAAGAGGTCTGTAGGGGGCATTCATAAGCGCACCAATGTGCCTACCGTCCTTGTCCTATTGTTTCTTTTATTTTTCTTATATGTACCCATTTCATGTATTCATAACTATGTATATACCTATAATCTTGTAAGCGATTGACAAATCAAAATAAGAAAATAAAATAAAATCTGATTGACAGTCTTGGGATTTCCTGGTAGTTTTCCATCTAGGCACTAATCAGGCTTAACCCTCAAGACCACCAAGGTGGGCAGGACCGTGGTGGCGCAGTGGTTAGAATGCAGTACTGCAGGCGACTTCTGCTGACTGCCAATTTGGCAGTTTGATCCTCACCAGGCTCAAGGTTGACTCAGCCTTCCAAGGTTGGTAAAACGGGGACCCAGATTGTTGGGGGCGATAGGCTAACTCTAAACTGCTTAGAGGGGGCTGTAAAGCATTCGGAAGTGGTATATAAGTCTAAGGGCTATTGCTAATTGTTAGCCTCCATGACTTATGTGGAGACTCACCAACATTATAGTTCAAGTCAACTTGAGAACTTAAGGAGTTGGAGAAGCCAGGCAAACCTGTGAATTGCTGCTAAAATTAGTCCTTTTTCTTCTCCGTAGCATGGGAGAAAATTCATTTCACTTGGTTTCTACAATTGAGAGGTTGCCCAACTCCACACAGCTCCATGTACCCACAATTCTAAAATAAGACAACAATGGCAGGGGAAAACCAGATCATATGCATCCAGAAGGAAACCACACATTGTAAACAAAATGTCCCATGGTGGCTCAACAATTACTGTACTCCCAGATCTGGGAAAATAGCCAAGTTTTTACACGGCTTTTCAAATATCAGGGTGGAAGTCAAACAAATCTATTCCAGAGGGCAGAAATTGCAACAGAGAAAGCAGGCTTCCTCTGTCGGGATAGGTGACATTTTGTTAATTATTATTTAATCTTAAAATAGCTTAAAAATTTGTAGATATTGTACTCTCAAATTGCAAATGGAGACGTGGGTACTCTTATCTTTCTTATCTTCATTTTTAAGTGCTTTGGTTTTATTGTATTGCGAACAGTTGCTGGGGTGCATCCACAGTTTCGTTGTACTTGTACAATGACAATAAAGTTATTCTAATTCTAATTCTAAAATAGTTGCCTTCAAAAGCAAAGCAGACTGGGTAGTTTGATAATTTCAGTCTGCCGATGGGCAATATAACAATATAATCTGTGCACTATATTGTGATAAGCTGAAGCCAGTTATTTGTAATTCTGTAGTAAATAATTATGACTTGAATTAGAATCCATTTTGGAAAGTTTTGGGGAACATTTTGAGTCTGCATGTTGTCTCTCTTAACTTAAGCTCTGTGGACTACCGCTTATAGAATTCCCTAGCCAGACTCCAACAGCGCATGACACAACTGCTCTTTACATATTTATCAGCACCTCCTTATCAGCTAACCATAATTACCTTTGAAAAAGATAAGTGTGGTCATCCAACCTTGTATGGGAGACCACAAGAGATTGCAGATCTGTAAGCCAATTGGGAAGTTGAAAGAAACTTTTTGGAAGAAGATAATGGAAATATACTTCCATATCATGCCGAGAAAACTGCAGGGACATATCCGCAGTCAGAGTTGAGATTAATCTAAGGGAAACTTGACTGATTTTTTATTAGGGCCACACAGGAGAACTGACCATTAGGAAGGAAGGGAAGGAAGGAAGGAGGGAAGGAAGGAAGGAGCAAGCAAGCAAGCATTGTTTCCTAATTGTTTCCTAAAGACTAAAATAGAGTTCATGCATCAACAAATATATTTCTTTTCTTTTTAAATAATTTTTATTACACTTCTTCACATTTAAAAAACAATGCATATAACAACAACACATATAAAAACAACACATATACCATCTTCACAGTGGTGTGACATCAGCTAGTCCAATAAAATCAATATATACATTGATTATTGTATTGAGTATATTGAATATATTACATTATTTCTTATTCCTACAGTCTAACCAATTATACCATTTTTCCCAGACCATATAGTATTTCATGTCTTCTCTGTCTTGCAATTCTAGTGTGCATTTGACCATTTCTGCACAATCCATTATTTTCTTTATTATCATACTATCTTTGGGAATGTTATCTAGTTTCCAACTTGGTGCGTAGGTTATTCTTGCCGCTGTTAGTAGATGTATTATAATACATTTCTTAAATATCCCTCTGATTATCCCTAAAAGAAACATTTCAGGCCTAAATTCTATTTGGAGACTGGTAATTTCTTGTAACCATTTCCTTATTTTGTTCCAGTATTATTATTATTATTATTTTTGCCTTAGGGCAGGATTACCACATGTGAAAGAAGGTACCTTGTTGAACAAACATATTTCTATAAGGTTATCAGATCCACACATGGTAATTGGGAGTTAGAATCTGCAGACTGGATTCATCCTATTTAAGTGGGGCTGGGTTTGAAGGCATAACATTTGTGAGGTTTTGTTTTGTTTTCTAAAATGTGTTAAGCCTTATTGTAGTGTCTGAACTACAGCATAGATTTTTTATTTTTTGTTTCCCATCATCAAATGATGGTACCTTTGTTTTTAGTAACTGCATTTTTTACAGATGCATAAAGAACATGGAAATTAGTAAGTATAAATGAGGACTATACAACAGGGGTCGCCAACCTTTTGGACCTCAGGGACCACCAAACTCATAATTTTAAATCCTGTGGACCAGAGACCCTGGGAAAATCCCCAAAAAAGTCTGGAGCAGGAGGCCTTGCAGGGTCCCAAAGACCCATTTCTGGCAGAGTTTGGGGGAGAGAAAGAAAGACTTTTGCTGCTTTCCTCATGTGCAGCCAAAAGGAGAAGAAGAAAGAAGCAGAAAGAAGCAGCCTGGTGGTCAGGCCAGGCGTGTGGGGCAAGTTTCCCCTCTCCCCTCACTACCTCATGTTGTTTGCAATGCAATCAATGCAAGCCTTGTGTTCCCATGGGCCATGTGGGTGGCCTTGTGTTCCCGCGCAGCTGGATTAATTTCTTTAGGGGGGACATTTCTTTGCAGACCACCAAAATTTTCTTGTGGACCACCAGTGGTCCCCGGCCCACTGGTTGGCCACCACTGCTATACAACATTAATTGATTTATACCAGGGGATACCCTTAGTTGATATCATAGACTAGAATCTACAACACATTTTCTAAAACATTGGGCAAAAGATTTCATCACCTGAAACTAGCTGGCATTTCTTATGTAGCTGGTCCTCATCTTATAACAGTTCACTTAGTGGCCATTCAAAGCTACAGCGGCACTGAAAAACGTGACTTATCACCATTTTTTACACTTATGACTGTTGCAGCATCCCCATGGTCACCTGATCAAAACTTAGATGCTTGGCAACTGTTTCATATTTATGACATTTGCAGTGTCCCGGGGTCATGTGATTCCTTTGTGCTTAAGACCTGTAGCCAGACAGGTCGTAAAATGAGGCAAAATTCACTTAAACAATGGTCTCATTTAGCAATGGAAATATTGGGCTTAATTCTGGTCATAAGTCAAGGACTACCTCTACACTATGTTTACATCTGGAAGGCATCTTTACAGCTGTAGCATAAGAACAATAATGATTTGGAAACATCAGCCTTTGTTCTGCTTTCTTCTCAAAGAGACTAAAATTATCCCCTGTTTCTCTTGTCTTTGTTCCCAGCATGGAGCCACCACGGCAAGACTTCCTCAAATGCAGGATCCAAAGGTCACTGCCCCCATGATTCCAGATGATGACACCGACCAGTTCTATACTTACGAGAACCACGAGTGCAAGAAATGTCCACCAGGTATCCCATTATCAGCTCCACCTGATCCTTCATAATAAGAACCAGAGATAGGTAGGTAGGTAGGTAGGTAGGTAGATAGATAGAAGACCCGGAGCATGGCAGAAAAGCAACACAGTCAAATAAGCAATAAGAGTCCCTTTACTATCTCCAACTTTGCCCCCAGTGTCCAGGTTACCTTCAGCTGGAGAAAAACACTCCCAGGAACAGCCTTTGACTATAGAAAATTCAGTCCAAAACAAGGTACACACAAACTGTAACTTAAAATCCAAACAAACCAAACTGAAGTAATTAGCTTGACAGGGTAGGAGAAGGAATTTCAGACTTGAAAGCACAGCAAAACTCACGCAGTTGGGAAGATGCCAGAAATACAGATAAGCCACAATGATACTAGATAAATTCATGTTTGCTCCCAACAACTTGCTCTGTGCAGCTTCCTTTCTTTATACACTGTGTTCCCAGCTGCAAATAATGAAGGGAATCAGGGCCCTTTCCTCTCCCATAAGGCACGAAGCCCATGTTGCTCTCTTCTCCGTTCCTCCTGATGTGCCCTAGGATGAAGAGGGGGTGGGCCTGGGTCTTCCTCCGAATTCCCTGTCCCTTGCTCTACCTCTCCCCTGCTCTGCCCAGACGGACTTTGCCCTTCCCCAGGTTCTTCCACAGCCAATGGAGCCACACTCCCACTCCATGTCAGCTGTTCGGCTTCCTCCTCCAAGTCAGATTCCGACAGGGGCATGGTTGGTAGGTAGGTAGGTAGGTAGGTGGATAGATAGATAGATAGATAGATAGATAGATAGATAGATAGATAGAT